TCCTCTCCTCTCCTCTCCTCTCCTCTCCTCTCCCTCCCTCCCTCCCTCTGCATAATATACATAGAAACAGATGCAACAAGACCAGCAACAATGAACATATTCTTTTTCTTCTTCTGTGGGTCATCTTCAGCATAAATTGGGAGTGTTGGAAAGCTCTTGATCAAAAACTTTGAGATCAGGATAATTGTACATTTGCTTTACAGGAAAAAAAAAAGTCTATACAGAATTTGTCTTTAATGCCTTAATGAAGCAAGTCTAACATTTTATACTTAAGCTCCTGTCCATGAACTCTTGCAAGGGAACAAAAGAAAAACCATGAACAGAAATGACCCCTGAAGTATAAATGTGGCATTTGAACAAAGAGATCCATTCCATTTTGTATACAGCATTCAAAATACTTAAGATGCACAGTAGGATGATGAGCAAAACCAAACACAAATGGATTCAGATGAGCTGAAGGCAGGGTGTACCTGTAACATTGGCCATTTCCCATTGTAGATGTTGGTTGCTCAGCTTGATTACATGGATTTCTTCTTTTAAACTGTGGATCCAATTTTCTTGCCCTCTCTCAATATCGGTTCCAAAAAAGATCTCATTCCCCATGGTGGCATTGGCAGGATGACTCACTAGTTTCGCTTTTGAAGGAATGCCTTCTGTCATGTTATATATAATGTTGTGAATCCTATAAACTGAGGAAAGTTGAACAGAAAGTAATGAAATATCCAAAGTTCTATTTTATTCACCATTATCCAAATGTGCTAACTTTCTAAGTTATTTTTCATTTTTTCTTGATAGCCCTGGGAGAATGTAAAATTAGGTTTCTTCACCTTCCTGTTCTTCCTTTCCTGTTTTAACAAACCAGGTCCCATTGTCTTGTCAGGGAGCCATGTTCTAATGCCCTAAAAGTACAATTGATAGCCATTTACTGCAACTGTTATACTCTGCTCTCTTGAAGTTGTACAAATATTCACATTTTGTGAAAAGTATCACCAGGGTATGTCCTTCCACTCCAGACTTGGCCAACTCACTGATCTATCACTATTGCTAATGTCATATAAAACACACTAAATCAACTATTGTAGTATGAACCTACTGAGTCTTGTGAAAGACAAAGGGCAATTCAGATTCAATTAACACTCTGCCCTTTCAATATTCATTTTATATTTATTTATTTTATTAACTATTTTATTTTAGTTCTTTGAAGGGAATATATTGCTTTATAGAATACCATTTGATCTGAAGTTTGCTTTAAAAGTAGGAACGGTGGTATTGCCAGAGCAAGAAAACATTAACTATGGACTGTATATGATGCCATTCTCTTTGGATGTGATATTGGCAGGGACTACACTGGTTAGTATGGGTGTTCTCTAAAGTTTCTTCAAAGAAACTGAATGGAACTGGAAGATTCTCCAATTTAGTAATCATTGTAATGTTAGAGGGCAACCTGTACCTGTGACTGATTTAGCCCCACTAGAAGAATGCCCATGCCCCTTCTTTACACGCAATGTAACTCTAACACTAAAAGCTTGTTTCACATTCTAGCATATGTTCTCTACATTGAAAAGAAGTAGGGTAACGTTTGAAGGATGATGATCACAAGGACATGGCCGATGATTTTTTTACCCAATACACCACCATTGCCAGCCTCTAAGGTATGCAGATGCTCATATGGAAGGCACATTTGTTGTCAGCCATATGTCCATCATTGGATAATTTCATATAGTACCATTGCTGATATGGGAATGGCCACAAGGATGTGGCTCCCTGTACCTGCAGCATTCAGTACAAACATTCCTGGCCTCAGCCATGAACCATTAAGTACTAAGAAATCAAGTGATGCAGATGTGGAATGGAAGTGATCCATAGCCAGAAAACTAAGAACTTTGACAAGCCCCCAAAGCCAATGTGCTGCCTTTAACCTCTTCAGCCCCAGGAGGACCTTTAACCTTAGCCTACAATCCCCATATTTACTGTCTTTGTGTGTGTGTGGGTGTGTGCGCGTGTGCATGTGCACTATACCATCCATTTTTCTGCGTGATTTTCCCATCTCCTTTCTTCCTGCCCTTTTTCTATGCTCTAATGTCCTACCTCTTTTTCTTTCTCTCTCTTTTTTTAAAGGTAAGGCTAAAAGAAAAATGGAGAAAAACTATCTATGTGGTCACTAGGAGTAGAAAATGATTGGATGGCACACAGTCAATCAACCAATAAAAAGAAAAGTAGTGGTACCACATTTTCTGTCCAGGTGTGCCCCACTTGTTGGTCACAATTCACCAGCTAAAGGCTCAGGGATGCTTGGAATAAAGTGGCATTTTTAACTTTTAGCTTCTCCTGTCCCCAGAGTACTTCTGCAATTTAATCTGGATTACAGAATGATTTCCTATTGTTGTTGTTTTTAAAGTCACTATCATCTGGCAAGATAAAAAGCATTGTAAAACTCTACCCAGATTGTTATGAGGATGCTCAGGATGACTAATCAGTCTCACATGTGGCTGAAGGCAAAAGCATCTGGAAAATAGGTTGGGAAGCTAAAGGTCTAAAGGTCATTTATTGAATGCTGGGAAATCATCTTTGGCCCTGTTTTTATTTTTCAGGTTAGGAATGCTTTCACATCCTTTGAACTTCTAGGGTGGGTGGGTTTTCTATCCTTTCATAACTCTATATTATTCCAGATCATTAAAGACAGGGGGAAATGTTCATGGTCTGAAATACAGCAATCAACTAAGTAGGGCAGCCCCAAATATCTGGCTGCTTGAAGGACACAATATGATACCCTGCCCTCGCTGGCTGTGACCTTCGCACAACATACATTGAACTGTTACTTCAGTGTTGCTGAGGGAATCTTCCACTGTACCCAAGACAGCAGGTTAGCTAAGGAAGTGGTGAACAAGTTCGATGATATGCAGCCATGTCCTCCAATATCTTATTTATTTATTTAACCAATTTATATAGCTGCCCATCTCACCACAGGTCACCCTGGGTGGCATACAACAAAGCTAAAACCAGTCAATAAATGCATTAAAAATATAAAAATAAAAATAAAACAAAGAATAAAAAGATGTTAAAAGTAAGGCAGCCACCTCACTAATTCCCCTGTCCCCTGGGGTCCCCAGGCCTGATGGCATAACCAAGTCGTAAGGGACCTCCAGAAGCTCAGCAATTATGAGGCCAACCTCACCTCATGGGGGAGAAGATGCCACAGCGCAGATGCCACAGCAGAAAAGGCCCGCTGCCTGGGGCCTGCAAAATGTAGCTCCCTAGGTGACAGAACCCGTAACATGCCCTCTCTGCTGGATCTGGTAGGACAGGCAGATGAAATCAGGGAGATGCGGTCCCTCAGAAAGCCCAACCCCATGCCATAAAGGGCTTTAAAGGACGACACCTGCACCTTGAATTGGACCCCAAAACAAACTGGTAATCAATGCAGCTCATGAAGCAGAGGTGTAACGTGTGTCCTACTAGAAACACACATAACTGCTAGCACTGCTGCATTTTGCACCAGCAGAAGTTTCTGGACACTCTTCAAGGGCAGCCCCGTGTAGAGCACATTGCGGTAGTCTAACCTGGAGGTGACCAGGGCATGCGTGATCATGAATAGGTCCCTCTGATCTTACTACAACTCTCCTTGCCATCCTGTCCCAGATGGCCCTCCTTTTTCTTACCTGAGGGGTGAGGGTCACCTTGCACTTCAGTATCTCCTAAGTTCGGATCCTCCTAAGAAAGGAGCCAACTCCCTACTTGAGTAGGAGTATGCTGTTTAGTAGGACTGTGCAATGCGTTAGATTTGATCTCCCAAGGACACATGGGAGTGCATGGGACCATGAACCCAGCACCTGTTAAAGCAGCTGTGTCTTTTCTTGGGATTGTGAGATTTGGATTGGGAAAGCATAAGATCTGTGCTTCAAAATGGGGCAGACAGAGCTATGTTTGGGCTTCCACAAAGCCCAGAGCATTTTTGGGAAACTGAAGCTGAAGTGCCACAAAGGCACTCCTGTTTAGTGCCTTTCATCCACATCCAGTCCAGGTTTCCCTTCCCTTTATTTTCACTCAGCTAGAATTATTGATATCAGTAGTGTGAGGATAGGCAGTTTTTAATCTTTCGATTTAAGAAACAAAATTACATTTAAGACAAGTTACCTTCGTAGGCCAACAGTCCCATGCCTCCCGTGAGCATAACCAAGTATATTATGAGTATAGACCAAATACAGCATCTGGAAGTCCTTTTCTGACTGTTTGGATCTAAAGTTTCAGGGAAACAATAAAACATTCAGAGTGCTAGTCCATCATTTGGGGCTACAAGTGACTGAAACTATCATTACTGATCATGGCCATAATCCTCTATGCAAGGTTTTAAAACATAGATCCTATTGAGCAGCATAATTAAAACAGGCTGTCCTTTATTGATGCATTTAACAGAAGGTAAATTGCTTAATTTCTAGACAAAACTCAGTTTTCGCAGCACTCCATTTCTGGATATCTCAGGATTATAAAAAGGTTGCGTAGGTGTAATCCATGCAAGCTTATTTGGAAGTGTATTTGATTACTAAGGTCATTAGAATTTCTAAAGACATATGCTGAGAACTGCAGTCATGAAATAACAGTCTTCCAAGAACTCACGACGCACATTGACAATTCTCAAGAATGGATTCTTGCACCAATGTTCACTGGAAGGACATGTTGACACCATCTCAGTGTTGTTGTTTTTTAAAAAGGGGCACCCCCCAACAATAAAGTTTGTGTGTAGTCCCTACAAAACTCTTCCTTTTTCCTTATCACTACAAACAATTGTAATGAAAACCTTGCCTGTGTGAAAAATAGCACTTAACATGCCATAACACATCCTGAAATGCAATAGAAATTGGTTCTTGAGTAATACATAATGGGACTCCTGCCAATTCCACTAAGTAAGAATACCTTTTAGCAAATGAGTTGGTTCAAAAGCACATTTAATTTGTCTCTTTGCTCAGTGAAATATACAGAACTGAAAAGATAAAGATGCTCTCAAGTTGGACTCGATTCCAGTGATTCCATCTATGAAGTTTCCTGGTCAACAGTGGTGTCCAAGGTTTGTGTGTGTGTGCGTGAGTGTGTGTCAAAAAAGTCAAGATGGTGGTTGCAACTATCAATTAAAGCCCCACCGCTATGTATATGCAAGTGATACTGATGCACATACAAAAGGATGGAGCTTCAATTACGCTGTCACAACCATCATCTTTTTTGCCCCCCCCCCGATGCCCCTGCATGGCAATATGCAAAAGTGGCTTGCTATTGGTTTCTTCCAGAATATTTTTTTGATGTCCATTCTAGCCATTAGCCCTGGAATTCTCAGTGGTCCCCAATCTAAGTCCTAACCAGGGCCTATCCTGCTTGGTTTTTGGTTTCTGAGCTAGGTTCTGGAGAAAAAGTATTCATCCATGTGTGCGCTCTTAGAACTTTAGTGCTACTAAACAAGTAGTCTTCCTTAGAAACCACTTACGGATATATTTTTGTATAGAAGTAAACCAATATGTTTAATAACACTTTTGTCCTGAAAACCAAATTTAGGATTGTAGTCTTGGTCATGAAATTCCATGGCATCCTCCCATATATTTATCACTGTAATAAATTAATGCCATTTAATGCAATAACAAATTAATTCTATTTATAAAAGGCAAATTCTCACTAATCACTAATCAATCACTAATAAATTGTCTTACATATTTTGATCTAAGTATCAAAATCATCAAATGGTAATAATACTTTACCACTAATTTCAAATGTTGTGATTCCAGATGATGCAAAATTCAACTTCTCTGAAAAAGATGGTGTGTTGATGTCTTGGAATCCATTGTCACTAAACCTAACTGAGTCGTTCATGTTCAAAGTTTTACTGTAAACTGCAGCCCTATCAGAAGAAACTTGCTAGTTGTATAATGCACATTATTAGATGAACACTTTCCATTGGTTGGAGGATTTTCTTTTTACTAGACTTGCAAAAAAAAAAAAAAAAAATCCCTAGCACAGTATCTTTGGTACTTCCTCCAAAACTTCTAAGTACGGGCTAGTGAATGTATCCCTTAATATAAAGCATAAAGAAATATAGCTAAAACCTGAAATCCTTATTCTTAAATGTGAATCTTGTCATTAGCAGGAATATAACTTTTACAACTTCTCATTAATGTGTGGTGATAATATCATTATTAAGATGCCTAAAAGCCTTTCAGAAAGCTTCCCCATGAATAAACGATACATCTTACAGTGAGGAGCATCTAACACCCTTGTTCCCATGTATTTATTCTTCCTGAGCCATAGCATTTCTACTGGCCCTTGATTTGTTTGACTAGAAAATGGATTGTGGTCTGACAGCAACCTCTTCTTCTACTCAGTGAATACTAAATCTTTTTGTCCTTCCATACAGGAGAGGGCCAGAGACATCAACAAAATAAGCATGAACATTAGTGTGTAGAAACTTGGGGGTTAATTTTCTTGTGCATGGAACACCCAGCACATGACCAAGAGGAGACATTTATCTCAGCAGATAGCAGCACTTGGATGAACTTGTCTGTGTCCTAAAAAACTCAGCAGAGATGGCCCTGATTAGTTCTTGTGTGGAAGACCACTGACCCATGGCTGTAGCAGAGACTGGGAAGTCAAGGGAGAAGGCAGTGGTAAATCACCTCTGTATTACTGCCAAGGAAATTAGAGTCCCTAAAGTCACCAGGAGCTGCGCTCAGCATACTTTTACTTAGAGGGCTTGAATTAAACCTGGTTTCCTGCAACAGTCATGAGTGAGGGAGGTAGCAAGGCAGCCACCAGATACGCATGCTACATCGATGAGAAACAATAAACCACAGAATTCTACCCACTGTAGAGCTGCAGCAAGAGTAAAGAGGTGCAAAGATTCATGGGCCCTTAGGAGGCCAAGGGTGCTTTTGCACAATTAACTTTCATGACATTTTGTACATGTACTTTTGGCGCAGGGCAGAATGTGGAAAAGAAATGAAAAGTACTGATATCTTTCAAGACATCTGTAGATTTCTTTTTGCAATGTGGTTAATTAACTAGTCAATTCTGAGGCTTAAAAGGCTTCACTTGTGAACATCATGTTTGCTTGCATGGATGGTTTACCACCATTCAGATGCAGATGTTTTCCTTCCCCGTTTTATCTTGTTGGGTGAATAGTGATCATTCATTTTGGACTGTCTGATTGGGGCTGCCTTCCCCTTACTAGTCCACAGTGGATTCTAAACAGCTCCATTTATTTTTTTGAAGGCTCAGTCCAATAATGAAGAGGCAAAAAAGTTTTCTAGATCCTTTTCTCTCCCATCATCATGTTTCTACTTTCTACAATTGCAAAAAATGCTAGAAAGTGATGAACAATATATGACAAAAGAGGATTTCCTGCAAACGTTTTCTAATAACCACAGGATGCCCTGTGTGTGCTCACATCTGAAACCATGACATGTAGGAATAGAATAAGCTACAGTATATGCTAGAATAAACTAATAAAAATGGCAGGATTGATTCTGCAAAAGAACATACTTCATTTGCATAGTTTGCAGAGATCACAAGCAACACCTTTTTTTGCCAAAAGAAACTGGATTATCTTGTTGCAGAATGTGGAGGATTCCAAGTACTTCCTTCTTTTCTGGATGAGAAAAAAGTAGCAGAAGAAAAAAGATTCCTGCTTTGAGTCTACTTTGGTGAAAGAGGATATTTGGCAGAATTCTGGTGAAAGGATATTGCAATGAATAGGAATTGTGGAAGGTCTGGTTACTCTTGTTCATTATTTCCCAAATTGATGAAGCAACTGTGTCCATGTTTCTTTGTGATTTTCTGTACTGCTGGCAACAGGTAGTATTCCATGAAAAAGAATCACCTTGCCCAATTTCTTGTCCTTTCAGCAGTTTTAACAGATTAGTATGGGAACTTGTTTGACCAACCCTGCTCACATTACTCAACTAAATAATGATAATTGGAAGAAGGTCATCAGGGAATTAATCCAACTAATCAACTACACAGAAGGGGATGCTGATCAGACCTTGCTATTATGTGGACAATGATGGAGAAATGTAATGAGAAACTGATTGGTGGAAGGTGCCATCTTTCTGTGCTAATTTTCCTTTCTTTTCTTCCAAACATGCTTCATGGGATTTAGTGAACAAAGTAGATACAGAACAAGGTCATATAAAAAGCAAGACATGTTCCCGCTATTTAAGAACAGTGGGTATCTTTGCATTATAAAACAACCTGTCCCTTGTGGATCAATATTGGGTCTGCCCCCGGAAATCCGGCAGAACTGCTGTACATATTCACACACAGTCTAAACCAGTGTTTCTCAACCTTGTCAACTTTAAGATGCATGGACTTCAACTCCCAGAAAGTCCCGTTCTCTTTGACCTATCGTTCTTATGTATTGGCACATCCATTATGTCTAACTCAGCACTGTATTACAGTACACAAGTGACTGTGGCAGTTGATCAACTGTAACTGTCATTGTGAAATGGGATAGTAGCGGAAAGAAAAATGCTGAAGCAGGGCGAGTATTGGGTGGAGGGCTTGCACAAGAAGAAAGGTTATTAATAGCTCTAAAACTTCCTCCTTGTCCTGTGAGCACCTAAGAGCATCCCTTGATAGAGGCAACTGACAGAGTAGGAAATTAAAAAATAGCTAGACCCCCAATACAAATGATGACAATCCAAACAATATAGTGATGCAAATAACTGTAACAAAATGTTGAGAAAAATGATATGGAAAGAACAAGAGTAGGAATGTGGCAGTGAGTCTGCATCATGATACTGAATAAACCTACCATAGGCCTGAAGTTAGGACAATGGATATTACTGTTGGCTAAAAAATTAGCCAATATTGAATATGCAGAGACTGTCCCCCCCCCCCCCCCATCATTAATACTGAAGTTTCTTTGGCCAATGGTTTCTTCAGAGCATGCCAGGAATCCCTGTTTTGTAATGGCGCTGAACATTCTTTAAGAGCAGGCCTGTTCACCTTGTGCTTCATCATATGTACAGATTCACATTAGAACAGCTGATCAGGGAGATATTTCACTTTCTGCCCCCTCTGCTCAGCACAACTAACTAACTAATTAACTAACCTCCTTGTCAAGCATATGACCTGTCCCCAATAGTCCAGCTAGATAATTTTAAACCTGAACTGCTGTAAATAGGATCACAAAAGCCCTCCTTTTGGTGACTATGTTCTCTTATTTTAGTTGCGAAGCACATAAGTTCCTCCATCCGCTGTCATATCATGTTCTATATGTTCTTCTGTACTGCTGGCATTCATTCATTCATTCATTCATTCATTCATTCATTCATTCATTCATTCATTCATTCATTCTTCAAATTTAGA